GCCCTTGCCCTCCCCCTAAAACCACCACCAAGCACTGGCCAACAAACTTACCAGCAGATCGACCACAATTCTGCTTCGCAGCATGATGGAGAACGCAAGCAAAACCTGCGCAAAAATAGTGACACGAACAGTTAGACGTTTAGGCCAGTGTGTCAGGCACACTCATCGAAAGGCAGATTGTGAAGTAACTCATCAAACTGGGGAGAGGCAGAACTTCTGGCATTAGTCACAAAAAACCAGTTTCCACCTACGCAGTCACCAAAAAGACCTAAATTCATCTAGGCAAAGTCATCAAAATGCAGAATTTCTCGGAATATTATCAAGTCAACTTGTTGCACATTCGGGAGGGTTATGCAATAAGGGACGAAGGAAACAATAGCACAAACCAAAAGGACCATAGCACAGAAGATTGTTCTTCAGGATGCTGAAAAGGAGAGGAAGAGAGAAGAGAAATGGGGGAGAAATGGGGGAGGGTGGCAGTGAGGACCAGAGGGCTTGGGTGGGTGCAGGGGCAAGGAAAGAAAGATAAGAGGGGCACGCGAAGCAGGAAGACATTGTTCAAGAGGGGGAAGTAGAAGGCACCTGTGGTGGTGAAGGTGGAGGGACGGAGGGAGGCGAGCGGTGGACATGATGAAGTAAATCACTAACAAAAAAGGAGGATGAAAAAAGAATCGGGAGGAAAGAGGAGTTGCAAAGAAAAATCATGATGACGGTCATGGCAGTGTGATGAAAATGGCGAATTTTGATGATAACAGTTAAAAGGGTGACCGTCATGAGGTACATCGGTATCTCATTTCCTCATATGCTAACCAGCACAAAGCTGAAAACATCACAGTGAACCCCTTCACAGATAGGAGGGGTCCTGTGTACCTACTTGAGAGAAGTGGAGCTTGGGATGAGACTCACCCAGGGTAGATAAGGTGCAGTAAAGCTGAAGAGGTCCAGAAAACTCATATGCACATTGGGATTCCTTCTGCCCCAGACGTACACCTGCAGGTAATGATGGCGCACACGGCAAAGCACGCGTGCGTCAGACACACTCATCAAAAGTCTCTCTCTCTCTCTCTCTCTCTCTCTCTCTCTCTCTCTCTCTCTCTCTCTCTCTCTCTCTCTCTCTC